CACCTGATGATGTTCAGGGTTATTCCTGGCTCTGCACTTAGGAATTATTCCTGGCAGTGCTCAGGGGACCATATGGAATGCCAGGGATCGAACTCAGGTTGAGATCACTAAGGCAGGATCTATAATATAGATATCTATATTATAATATCACTCCAGTTTCAAGTTCCACTATTTTTGGTATAATTCTCCACTATCCACTCCTTTAAATGTTCTTTTTTAATTAAGTCGCCATGAGATACACAATTAGAAAGAATTAGAAAGCTGTTTATGATCGGGTTTCAGTCATACAATGATCCAACACCCATCCATCCACCAGTGTCCATTTCCCACCAGCAGTTACCCCAGTTTCCCACCCGCCACCCTCCGCCCCCAGACTGCCATTCTATGGCTCTGTGGTGGGCACTTTCCTCTTTCTCTCTCTCTCTCTCTTTCTCTCTCTCTCTTTCTCTCTCTCTCTCTCTCATGCTCCATTCTCATCTGCTTCTCCTCTCCCTCTCCATTTGTCTTCCCTCCCTCTCTCTCCCTCTCTCCTCTCCCTCCTCTCCCCTCTCCTTCCAGGATCTATGGTCTACTTCATCGCCTTTTTTGTCTTTTCATGAAAACATTTTTCTAGGCTAATTGAGCTTCAGACCTTCACAATTCTAAAAGTCTCTAAGTATAAAAGATTTTTTAAAGTTTTTTTTTAGTAGAAAAGTCATTTGTATTCAATATTTGATTCAGTGTAGCAAAATTATAACCACTGTGTAACTTTTAAAAAATGAAATGTAAGCTCCCAGATTTTCATAAATTAAAAATTTTACAAGAAATATGAAAATTTTATACAATAAAGAAAATTCTGTAGTTTGAAAAAATCCAAATATATTAGTATGTAAATTTTAAAAATATGACATTATATATAAAATATTCTGTATAACTTAGATTTTAAACTTTAGATTTTATTATATGAATTATAAATAACAATTGAAGACAGAATCGAGAGCTGTGTGAAATGTTCTCATATGAGATATTTTCCAGGCTAAATAGGTAGCAGAGAAGAGATTCTGCCTACTTAATGATGGCATAATTTATAGTCAAGGGCAGCATTTGTCAGGGTATACAAATAGTTGAGTTGATACACTTATTTATGAGTCTGATGTCTGAAAGTAGTTTTAACAGGAAATTGTTAAGTATGGAAAGAAAGAGCTATTTGATAAATTGATCAAGAGGTTTAAATTGTTTTGAATATAAATAAAAATCACATGGTTTATGTTTTAAAGAGTGAAAGTGTGGTGAATGTTTATAGATAACAGTGGAAATTATTGGGCCAGCAAGACAGTGGGTAAGATGCTTGCCTTTTAAACTGCCAACCTGGGTTCAGTCCCTGCACCCACAGTCCCCTAAGTCCTAACAGGAGTGATCCCTGAGCATTATTGAGTGTGACCCAAAAATAAAGCAAACAGAATATTTCCCTTGAAATTCATGCCAGAATTTCTTTATTTATAGGAAGTAATAATTAATCAACCTCCATAGCTCAGAAAATTTAGAGTTCGGCCTCACCATGGTTTCCTTCATTTAAAAGCATGTTTCTATGCTTCTAAGTGATCATCAGTATTACTATTTATTATAAACATGCATTGATTTTTATTCCAGAGGGGATGTTAATTAACTCATCATGGGAAAATAAATGTTCAGAAGTTGAAAATCCTAGGATATTTCCTTTAAAAATATTATAAATAAGCTCTAAGGCTTTGCCAAATGCTTCTTTTCTAAATTCAGCTTCTTTCTACATCCAGTTTCTACATACGAAGTGACTAGCTATTTAGAATCTGTTTTATATTTTATCATCTAGTCAGGAATTTGTGATGTACAGAAATGACTAGAAATGGTTTTAGTTTGTGAAGCAAGGTAGTTTTTATTGAAACTTACTTGTGTGACAGGGAAGGGAAGCGTGTGTGTTCAAGAGAGAATACAGGCTTTTTCAGAGTGGAAATAGACTAATAAACATAGGGACAAGCAAGCAAGACGCATGTTCAAGATAGAACACAGGCTTGAAGAACCATAAGAATGATCGAAGCCTAAAATTGACTTTAAAATATTCACGTAGTCTATACGGTGGATCTAAAATCAATCTATTTGTTGCATATTGATTTGTGTGATAATATTTAGATTTAAGAACTGTAATAATTACCCACTGATGTTTTACTTTTAATTATCTGTGGATCACAAATAGTTTAACTCCACAACTAAAACAGAACTTTCACTAATTTCCTATACCTTTTCAATAACACTTTAACCTTTGTATAACATGTATATGATACATGTTATAAAAGAATAACTTTGTATAACATGTTAAAGGAATCTTCTTCAGTCTATTAAGTAGCAAAGGTATGAAGAGTCAAAAAATAAAGGTGAAAGAGAAGAGAGAGCAGAAATGAGGTGGATAAAGGGAGTTGAATAATTGGACTGCACATAATTGTTTATTATACTTGTTAATAAATATTTATTTGTATAGTGTTTCGTTCTGGATGAAATGTATCCAGATTATCCAAGAGTGATCTCTTATCACAGAGGCTTAATCTTCTGATGGTGCTTTTTGCTTAAAGAATGTCTCGTATTAATAATTTAGCTCTGTCAGACTTTTTGACAGTCATTTTTGTACATGTTACTCCTCATTTACTCTGAAGAAGTTCCTTGTTTGGAAGTAGATTTAATAACTATTGAATTATAGTCTTCTGTGTTTTAGTCCAGCGTGAACATAATCAAAGAAGACAAGACAATATGAAAATTGTCTTTTTCTCTTAAAGCTATTTTATGCTAAATAAATCCAGCTGAGAACATATTTATTAAATCAATGGTAAAATGCTGAATTAATAAATAATTGATGAACTGTAGAGTTTATGAAATGCCAGGAATGGGAGCTATAAGGCTAATGAGAGTATGGCAGCTTCTCTGAAGCGTCTGTCCAGTTGTTTTACTCATCTTTCCTTTCTCCCATTGATTTTCAGTTCAAAGATCTTGTTATATTCCATGCAGTGTTCTTAATATAAGGTCCTCGTTGAATTTTTCAATCCTTTATGGCATATTAAAGTGCTTCTCTCTGTGTCTGTGCCACTTATGAGTAATTAAAGAGACCTGGTCTATTCTCATCACATATTTCTAGGGCACAATTTCTTGTCAGTTATTGATGTGGTGAATATCCTCAGAGGATTGGTCTCTGGAGCGCAAGGTTCAGAGGCCATCCCAGTGCCAGTTCTGACTCAACAAAGGCCTTCTATTTCAGGAATGGTTTTGCATAGGATAACACTGGTAACCTTGTAATTTCAAGTCACTGTAAAGAATCTATTCCACAATTGATTGGGTAATCCAAAGGTCCTTGAAAGTTTGAAGCTATGTACTTAATTCATATTTGAACCACTATTTAGGACCTCCCTAGATTGATCATAACTAAATAAAGACATGTGGAAATACTCTATGCTTCCAGAAGCTTTTAAGATCACTTAGGTTTTGGACTTACCTAATTCAAATGGATATTTTTAGGAAGGTTAAAGATCCAGAAGAGTCAACTTTATTTCTTGACTTTTTTCTTTTCTTTTTTGGGGGGGAAGGAGAGGGACATTTCTCCAAGCAGTGCTCACAGGGCCACTCATTGCAGTTCTCAGGAACTTGGTCATTCAGCAGATGCTAAAGCCTGCAGTTTGATGCTGCTTGGCCCCCAGGTGCCTATGCCCCTGCAGGGCCACACCAGGCACAGAACTCAGGGAAGAACCCTAAACCCTGACCCCTGTACAACCCCTAACCCATACTCCCTCTGCTAACCCATGCACCCTAACCACTGTACTGTCTCTCTTGCCACCCACCCTAATTTGCTATCTTCTTCAGTATCCCTAAGTTTACCCTTTTAAAAGTTTCATTCTCTTGACTAATCAGATTTTCTTTAATTCCTTTATTCATTCACATAGTGTGAAACAAGAACAAGCCAATCTACTATGAGTTATGAGATGCACTCATTAAATATTTGAGTTACTTTAACAGGCTCACTTCACAAATATTTGATGTAGCAGATAGTCTTCACATTTTATAAATGTTTCTTATCGCTCTTTTCTCCCCTTTTCTGCCCTAACATTTATTGCATTTAGTTGACTATGGTATTTAAAATGTAGTACAATTGAATGTGTACTCTAAAGTTTCACTCCCAGTTAAACATCACTTAGTGCATGTCACAAACCTATGTAAAAGATTTATTTTTCTTTCTCGTGAAGGAACAAATTTTAAAAGTTATTTACTAAGGATTTCTGTCTTGACTGAAATGTTCATTGGGAAATGGCATAGAAAAAAAAGGTAGTAGAGGTACAGTTAGGATCAAAATAATTCACAGGGAAAATATATATATATATATATATATATATATATATATATATATAGCGCATTGGTCAGAGTCTTACTTCATGTGTGCAACCTGTTCAAGACCTGTCTGCTGAAGTGTATCTGAACTGTTTTCTGATTGTGGCCCTGTTCCAACCTTACTTCTTTCCTGTGACCCCTGTATTGCTGGTTACCTTCTGGTCTCATGCTGTGTTCCCTTCCCATTAACACAGTTTTCATGTATGGCCACCTGCCCTCCTCCAATCTTGTTTTCTTTCCTGTAGCCCTCCCTTCCCTATTCTACTGGTTAGCCCCGTAGTCTCATGCTTTGCCCACTCCACCATCATTTATGCATTTTTCACCCATGTTCCCCTTGAAATATCCTGAAGGTCCACAGCAAACCATATGACTCCCAGTTGAAAAATGTGAATCTGCTATTATCAGTCATGAATTGCTTGACCTCAGCTAGACAATAATAGTATGAATAGTGATGCTATTGTTGTACCAGATATTTTTTGATTAGATTCCTATGTGCTTATTTATGAACAAATTATCATTTTGCTTTTTGTTCTAATCAGAATATATGAATCTTTCCTCCTTTTTTTTCCTTTTTGTCATCAACAATTTCTCTCTCTCTCTCCCCTTCTCTTTCTTTAAAGATCTTAGGGCAGTTGGGCTAAAGAAAGGGATGTTCTTCAATCCTGACCCTTATCTTAAGATGTCCATTCAGCCTGGGAAGAAAAGCAGTTTCCCCACCTGTGCCCATCACGGGCAGGAGAGAAGGTCTACTATCATCAGTAACACCACTAATCCAATTTGGCACCGAGAGGTAAGATGAGTCACTAAGGGTCTTCTGCATGACTGTTAGTAGTCAGCCAAGTCCACTTTCCTCCTCTGGATGGGGACACTTGAGCTGTTTATGGCTATTCCCTTAAAACCAGACAAGAGTTTAGAGTGAGTTATTCATCTGAGTACACAGCTGAAGGGGAATCAAGCCTCGATAATCAAAATAAATATTTTTAAGAAAATTAAAATGAATGCAAAAAAATCCTGATAAAAAAATATAAAAATTTAAGTAAGGATAAGATCCATGACAGTGCCTTACAAAGCTATATTAACACCTGAGGCAGAAAAAAACCAATAATATCGATCCTTTTCCTATCGAAATATTGATACTTTGTTCTTGCATTGATCCTCACAAGATAAAGGAGCTACTCTCCCTTTGAGCTTTGGCAAATGTTTTACAAATTCCTGAACTGGGCTTAATGAAGTGAACAACTTGTGCAGTTGTCATCCTGAGTGAAGGCAGATTATGTTGATGATATTTTAGACTTTCTCACAGCTAATGATGCTACCAATCATTCAAGTGCACTATTTCAGTGAAATCAAGCTAAGGGGTTTCTTACGAGAACTCCAAAGAGGCAAAGAATGAACAAAGAAACATCACTTCTCATTACAAGTGAACAAAGCTTAAGTGCTCCTTCCATCTTTCGAATATTCAAGGTATATTTTATTTTGATAGACGTAGGAGATACGCAGCTAATTATGTCATTCCCTAAGTATATAATGACAGTATAGTGTAACAATGTTGTATAAATAGTTGATTGCAGAGGGAAATAATTCAGGGAATCTAAAAGCTGTAGGAGACAAGACATGGCTATTTGAGGCTTGTCAGCACAGAAAAATATTTCTCCTGGATATTTCTTATGATTTCTTGAAAGGATGAATTTCATACATATTCTTATACATTTTTTCAAAATTATTTACAGTTCTCCAAGTAATAAATAAAACTTAAAGACTTCAAATCTTAAAGATTTTTAAAATTACTTAAAAATTGTTTCAGTATAGCTCTTGGAAGCACATAGTAGACATGTAATGATGATAATAGTTTTATTTTTCTAATATTTTGTATTTGTAAAGTTCTTAATCATATCACCCATTCAAACTTGATAAAAGTACATAAGGGTGAGATTATCATCATCTTTCCATTCGGATGATTAAGAAATTGAAGTTTAGCGTGTTTTTCAGAAGCAAAAATTAATACTCAATCTCCGCTCTCTTAGTCTAAGCAAGTCCTTTTTCCATTAAGTAGATTCCTTAATTGTAATTAGGATTTTAGACACCATTTTCTGTACTAATAAAATGATAAAAACTTACATTTGTCTTTGTTTTGAATCAACATGCTATTTGTTTATATTTCAGAAATACTCCTTTTTTGCACTGCTTACGGATGTTTTAGAAATTGAAATTAAGGACAAATTTGCCAAAAGCCGTCCTATCATCAAGCGTTTCCTGGGGAAACTAACCATTCCAGTACAGAGGCTGCTGGAGCGGCAAGCCATCGGGTAATCAGCCCTCACTTCTCGGAGCTGTGTCCAGATTAGTTTGCACAGAAGCCATTGAGATATTTTTTAATCTCAGATATTTTCTTCCTGATAATAAGTGTTTTCGTGATTTATTTTTTTAAATATCAAAGTGCCCTTATAATTCATTAAAAAGTGGAGGACTAAAAGTACTCTGGTTCAGTTCTGTCCTTTTTTCGGGGGAGGGGGTGGTATCTGTGTTTTCTAAGATGTACCTCCATTGACACCAAATGGCATAGTGCTTACTTTTTCATTCAGTTTATTAAAATCTCATCTTACAAGCCCAGGGGTCAGAGAGGTAGCTCAAAGAGCAGGGGCACATGCCTTGCATGGGGAGGTTCTGAGTTTGATTCCTGCTACGATATGATCCCTTGAGGACCACCAGGTGTGGCTCTGGTGTCCCCAGCATCACAGGGCCTGAGGGATCAGAGCACTTAACCTTCAGACCAGCACAGCTGGGCCAAGTAGGCCTGGAAGTAGTTCCCAGTCCCCCAGCATCTCCTCCGACCCCCATCCGAAATCTTGCTATTCCTCAAAACATTGTTCCATGTTCTAGTCATTTAAAACAAAACCTTGACTTTGAGGGGATGCTGTAACAGAGCGATTGTGCATGTGCATCCACTTGGCAATTAGTATGTACTCACGGGGACTCATTAAAATGTCCTTTGATGCCTGTTTTCTTTCTGTGAGCTTTCTGTTAAGTTGTGAATAAAGTTCAGAAACCACAATATGCCTCCATTGCTTATTATAAGTGTTTTATGTATTTTTACATGGTAAGTAGCAGCAACCCAGTATCACAAGTGCTGGAGGTAGCATCGAGGGGACATTTTTTGGAGATATCTTTTAAGTGTGGGAGGCTGTGGTGATAATATCTTGATAAGAATATGTGTAAGAGTGGTGAGTAGTAGTACTAAGAGTGAAAGCAGAGAGAGTAGTGGCAGCCGTAGTAGTAGGAGTTGTAGCACTGTCAACAGAGCAGCACTTGTGATGCATAGTAACAGTAAATGCTGAAAGTTTGCTCTGCTCATGTGAGTGTCTCAACAGCTCTGGGGAGAGATACCTCATCATTTTGGAAATGAGGAATCCGAGGTAGCTAGCAAGTAGCAGGACTTGAATTTGAGTACAGACCTGTTGGCTCTAGAATCCAGGCCTCACTACCACACTTCATAATATAATTTTTATAATTTACATGACATTTGGCAGAAGAGTCAATTTATATATACCATTAAGAATTATCAAGGTAAAAGTAAACACTTGTCATTTTGTGAAAACTGTTGTTGACTTGCAGGTCTTTAACTTATAAAACTGGATAGCTAGACAATTACATGTCATAGATTCCTTATGTACTGAAAGGAAATTCAGAATGAATTAATTTAAAAAATCGATTATAAAATGCTCTTATATAATATAAATAAATTTAAAAGCATTACCTGATATAGATACTGAGGGATCCAGTAAAGATACTGCTTTGTTAAATATGAATGATATAACATATTAATATATTACCTGATAATACCTAAATAAATATTTATGATCTGAAAACTATTTTCTGTCAAATAGTTTGATATATCATAAATAATGCCAGATTTTGTTTGGTATTTATGTTTGGTAAATGGCAGCTCTCTCAGTAGTTGAGGTACATCAGGATTTGGTTCTATAGAACTTCATTTCTGATGCTAGAACTTCTTCCTGATGACCTATCTTCCAATATATTTTTGAATGTAACATTTTTTCAGAGTAACTTGCATTCTCTCCAGACAGCACATTGTTTTCTCATGTTTTGTCGATCTGTCTTGATTACATTAGTGAGAAAACATCATAGGTAGCAAGAGTTCTCTGGCTCTTATTCTTCATGTGTTATAATTGTAGGATATATAATATTGTTCATAGTAATGTATCACAGCAATAGGCAGAGCCGGATGAGAGTATGTATGAGTGAGAAGAGAAAAGCTGGCAACTCCCCTGAGCAGCACAGCAAAGGATAAAGCCCTGGATTTGTAATCTCAAAATAGAGATTCCTCCCTTTCCAGGTGGAATATTTAAACTGCCAATTGCCAGTTTGGTTAATAAATGAACACAGCAGCTGGCAGCTGTTCAAATTCTTTTTTTTTCCTTTTGAGTCTTGCTTCATTTGATAATTTATTCAACAAATATGTTTGTATGTCTGTGTGCATAAATAGTGCTATTGAAGGTAGCGCCGTGTGTTGGGCAGTGAGGGTAGGATTGTCAGCATAATACATGCAAGTTTGGTAACAATGATAAGGATGAAAGTTTAATGTAAATCTTATGAAACTTTTTTTTACAATCCAGTACTTTTATATAACATTAATGCCAACTCTTTAATTTTCTTGCTCCCTGAGAAAGATCAATTCATTTTTAATAATAGCAGCAACTAAAGTGAAGGTATTGTTATTTCAGAACTGAATTTTCAAAGACATAACTAGGAACTGTAGTGTTGAGAGCAGATCCATGTGATTCACTCCTAGATTCATGCATTAGAGGACCGAGATTGAGCACCTCTGTGTGCCAGGCTTTGTGTGCTGAGAAGAGTATGGTGAGGAGAAGAAATATTTTGCAGAGTAGAGTCACTAATTTGCTCGAGCGGGCCCAGTAACATCTCCATTGTGAGACTTCTTTTTACTGTGTTTGGCAGATCGAATACGTCACAGGTAGCTTGCCAGGCTCTTCCCTGCCAGCGAGATACTCTCGGTAGCTTGCTGGGCTCTCAGAGAGGGGTGGAGGAATCAAACTCGGGTGGGCCATGTTGGCCTCTTGCAAGGCAAACGCCTTACCCGCTGTGCTATTGCTTCAGCCCAGAGTCACTAATAAAATTACATAATTTTATTTGAACACAGTAATATGAAAACATTGAATATAATTATAAATGCTTATGTATCTTTTTAACACAAAATTTTAATTACCACTTTGACCAAGAAAAGCAACATGATAAGTCACTTTAAGGTGGAAATGAGTAAATGCTTACTAGTAATGTACATAAATGAATGCAGCCTTAAATCACTGAAAATGTACCTGAAGTGAGATCACAACATGGTGATTGTCATTTTGATCTGTTACATAATAGTTGTTTGTCCTGGAACAAGTTACTTGTTCTCCTGTATGCCTTAGTTTCCTCTGCAGGAAGAAAATTGGATTCTGCTGACCCAAGGCTGCTAGAAGGATTAAAGGGATGCCCTTAGGAGAGTATATATAGTGTACACACTCAATTTAAAGAAAGAAAACATTTTTTTTAATTTATTAGTGAAACACCATGAGGTACAGTTGTAGATTTGCAATATTTTGTGCTTGGGTTTCGGTTATACCATGATCAGATACCCATCCCTCCACCAGTGCCCATTTTCCATCACCATGGATAATATCCCTCCCCCCCCCCCCCATCCCCCTCATCCCACCCTGCTTCTGTGGCAGGGCATTCGCTTTTGTTCTTTCTCTCCTTTTGGGTGTTGTGGTCTGCAAAAGAGGCATTGAGTGGCAAACATGTTCAGTCCATAGTCTACAAGAAAACATTTTTAAAGCATGAGCCTAGAAGAAAAGTACTAGAATGTCATTTCGAGGGAAGTCAAAGATGAAATAATTTAAATTCTTACTCAGCCATTTGAGTAAATTGAATAGAACTTGTCCTTTACATTAGCACGTATTCTTTTACATTGATAACATCTATTTTAAATTGAAGGTGAAGGCAGAGAACCAACAACATAGTTATGCAAATTGGAAAGAGTTGCCCAGAGGCTCCAAACAAATTTCTAGGTTGGACATGGTGTTTTCTTTCCCAAGTTACCATTAGAGGGCAGTGTGAGAGCAGAGATAATAGGATTTAGTGCTGTATTGGTTATGTCCCTTTATTAAGAATAAAGAATCAAAATCAAAGTTACTTGCATGCAAGGAAATTTTTGTTATTCTTTTTGATTTAAATAAACAGAATTGGAAAAGGAAACATTTTTTATTGGACTTGATAGTCTGAATCTGGGACCAAGTACCCAGGAAGTCTCCTGTGATAGCTCATTTAACATCTCCAACTCTCAAGGCTCAACAACCAGCTGAGAATTAATGATAGTCTGGTTCTCCCAACAAGGCCGACTGGCACAGCCTTACTTCAAGGTGTAAAAAGCCAGCTTACTTGACAGATACAAAGCCTGGCTTCAGAGCTGTGGAAGGGGACTTCAATGATCCTCCCTCTTCCCTATCTTAAGGGAGCTTCAGCCCATTCACACTTCTCTCTCTCTCTCTCTCTCTCTCTCTCTCTCTCTCTCTCTCTTTCTCTCTCTCTCTCTCTCTCTCTCTCTCTGCTCCTTTTCTGCGGAGCACAGCAGACCTCCAGGCCTCTAGGCTTTCTGCTGCAAGCCTTTCCTGGGTGTGTTCTTCAGAAACAGCTGCTTAGCATACAAAATGGTAGGAAACTAGCCTTCCTACTTTCATTCCAGAGTCAGAGAACACCTACAATTTTAGGTTTTTTACAGGAAGTTGGTGACCTTCAAAATATACTTTACTTGGTCATACTTAGCAGTAAGAGAAAAATTCAGGGATATATATATACATATATACATGTATATATATGTGTGTATGTATGTGTGTGTGTTGTGTGTGTTACATTTTATGTTTAATAATTTTTTTCTTGCAAAATTTACTCTTAGGTTGAAGAATATAACTGAGTGTTTACCTTGGGTGGGTTTGATCCGTTACACTACAGTAAAATAATTTTTTAACTGTATCCCTGGGCTTATAAGTATACATGTTGAAAATGAATGATGCCACATAGGATCATAACAGACATTTGAACTTTTCATTTTTTTTTTATCTTTAGTCAGAGGATTTTTGTTCTTAACTGAGTCATTATTGTTTTCTATCAAGGTATATGTTTTAGGACTTATTTTCAAAGTAACTAAAGCTATGTTTCTATACTCTGCCCACTACCCATATGCCAGTATTCCTCAGCTATCATCTATGAGATGCCCTCTATCTTTGGATTGTCCTCCATCTCTTAGACTGATTTCTTTCTGAGTCTGAATGTGTGCAGATTAGGGAGTACATAGTATTGGGTGGGACGTGTACTGGAAAAAGACAAAGGCTGACACCAGTGTAGTAAGGATGAAAGACCCATTTCTCCTCTTGCAGTGATCAAATGCTCAGCTACAACCTTGGCAGAAGGCTTCCGGCTGACCATGTGAGTGGGTACCTCCAGTTTAAAGTGGAGGTTACATCTTCTGTGCATGAAGGTGAGCTATCCTTATAAATCCATCTCTGTTGGAAAAGCATGCCAAATCTTAGTTGTCAGTTTACATTTGAATGGAATTGAATGTGTCCTGTTCTGAAAATTAAATACCTGTCAGGTGATTACCTGAAGTTTTCCTAGTAGATAGGAGTCTGTTTATCAAAAAGGTTAAGTCTGCACCTGAAAATGGAAATTCTAGGCTATGGAATTTCCAGCTGAACCTCATCAGGGCATTGTGTGTAGGAGCAGTTAGTCTTAGAGAGTTGATAATACTTAGTGAAACAAGTGACTTCTTTCAATGGATGGATGGCAAAAAGAATAGGACATAAAAGTTCAATCCTTATTACTTTTTTGTTTTTATAAATGCTCTTTTCTCCTTCAGATGCTTCTCCAGAAGCTGTCGGCACAATACTTGGAGTTAATTCTGTAAACGGAGACCTCGGGAGTCCCTCAGACGAGGAAGACATGCCAGGGACCCATCATGATGGTCCGGTGTGTTCCAACGGACCTGTTTCTGAGGACAGCGCCACTGAGGGCACCCCCAAGCATTCTTTCAGGACTAGCTCTACTCTAGAAATAGACACCGAGGAACTGACCTCCACTTCATCAAGGACCTCGCCTCCCAGAGGACGTCAGGATTCCCTCAACGATTACTTAGATGCTATTGAACACAGTGGCCGCTCCAGGCCTGGTGCAGCTCCCTGCCCGGAGAGGCCCATGGGCGCCTCCCCAAAACTGAGGAGTAGCTTCCCCACTGACACCAGACTCAATGCAATGCTTCACATTGACTCAGACGAGGAAGACCACGAGTTCCAGCAGGATCTGGGTTATACATCTTCCTTGGAGGAGGAGGGAGGATTGATCATGGTGAGCAGCAGGACTTCGAGAACTGATGATGGGAGTCTGACGTCTCAGACCAAACCAGACGAGAACCCTGCGGAGGCTGAGGAAGCCTCCACAATTGAAGCCACTTCCTTCGAGGACAAGCCTGAACCCCTTCCCGAGCTTGCAGAGAGCTCCCTACCCCCTGCCCCAGCCCCTGAGGAAAGTGACCCTGACCCAGTGTGTGAGCCCAGTGCCGAGCAGGCCAGCGCAGAGTTGTGCAGCTCCCAAGAGGTGGATCAGCCCACCACGGGAGCCGACACGGGCACCTCTGACACGTCTGTGGGAAGCCGAAGGGCCGCCAGTGAGGCTGAGTCCATGGACCAAGGGTCTGAGCCTTCCCAGGTGTCTTCAGAAACAGAACCCAGTGACCCTGCTAGGACGGAGAGTGTGAGTGAGGCCAGCACCAGGCCCGAGGGGGAGAGTGACCTGGAAGGGGCCGACAGCTCCTGCAACGAGAGTGTCACCACACAGCTGTCGTCCGTGGAGACCCGGTGCTCATCTCTGGAGAGTGCCCGGTTTCCCGAGACGCCAGCCTTCTCGTCTCAGGAGGAGGAAGAAGGGGCCTGTGCAGCAGAGCCCGCCAGCAGTGACCCCGCGGAAGGGTCTCAGGATTCTGTTTGCACGCCCGGCGCATTGCCTGCAGTGCAGGTGCCCCTTGGGGAAGACGAAGGGCCGGGGACAGAATCAGCCTCGCTACCTGACCAGGAGGAGGTGGGGGAGGTCTGGCAGCGGAGGGGCAGCCTGGAGGGAGCTGCTGCTGCTGCTGCTGCTACTGCTGCTGATGTTGATGCTGCTTCTGAGACTCCGCCTCAAGAGGAGGGAGATGCTGGGGAGGCCCAAGGGGCTTGCGAAGGGGCCACTGCCCAGGAGGAGGAGGGCGCCACTGGAGGTATGATGTGCCATGCGGCCCAGGCCTGGGCTCAAACAGCCTGGCTCAGAGAGAAGAAGGCCCAGGGTTCTGCCACGGTGTCGATTTTCTCACTCTGAGACAAAATATGATCTGAACCATTCACCTTCGGGGTCCGTGGGTTTTATTTCTGTTTTTCCATGATTATCTCATGACTGAAGTGGGGAAGACTGTGGTACTGCTTATCACATAGTGTAGTGTGAGGCAACGCATCTATGGTTGTTCCTGGTTTGTAGATATAAAACCAAAGACGCTAGCTGAGTTGATGTCAAGAAGTATGGGTAAAGCTTACCAGAGCTTCCGTATAACCTTCCTCCAGGTATAAAAGGGTCATCTGTGCTTCCCATCCAATGTGATGTTTGTGCCTTCTGTCCCATATGAACTGTTGACTAGTTGGGCCATGCATTTTGACACATGAAAAGAACTGATTCAGTGTCTGAGGGTACAAATTTACTCCTAAAGTGTTTTTCAATCAAGGTGACTTGGTAGAATTATTCCTTTAAAAAAGCCATTACTCGGGGCTGGAATAATAACTCAGCAGGTAGGGCATTTGCCTTGCACTTGGCCGACCCGGGTTCGATTCCCAGCATCCCATATGGCCCCCTGAGCACCACCAGGGGTAATTCCTGAGTGCAAAGCCAGGAGTAAATCCTGTACATTGCCAAGTGTGACCCAAAAAGAAAAAAAATCCATTACACATTCTCTATATACATAATATATGGAAATTCGAAAGTCTACTGATAAATTCATGTGCCTACATTGCATACACCAAGAAATATAAATCATTATACTCTGTGATTAATTTTTCTAAAGTATTCCCTTTTCTTCCCTTTCCTAGTGTGTATATCTTATTTGTGTATTCATGTGTGTTTTGTTTTATTTTTTTGTTTGTTGTTTTTTTTTTTTTTGCTTTTTGGGTCACACCCGGCGATTCAAAGGGGTTACTCCTGGCTCTGCACTCAGGAGTTACTCCTGGTGGTGCTCATAGGATTGCTGGGAATCGAACCCAGGTCGGTCACGTTTAAGGCAAATGCCCTACCCGCTGTGCTATCTCTCCAGCCCCTCATGTGTGTTTTGGGATGGGCATATCCTTTATTATCTGTGGCTATTAAGTCACTCTAAATTCATGCATGACGGGGCCAGTATTCAGAGAGAGAAAAAGTTAGAAATGGAGATGGGGTATCTTTCTCCTAGTTTAGGAGTAGTGTACGACTCAGCATTCACCACACATTGTGTTTGGTTTCTGGGTCCTCTGGCAAATGAGAATAAATGGAAAGAGGAGATCAGTCCGAGGTTTATGTTAGTGGTGATTTTTTAAAAAATTTTTTCACTTATTATTCTAGAGACTGAACAAAGGGTACAGCAGTGTTCGGGTAACCTTTTCTCTTTAACCCTAGGTTCTCAGGCCAATGGGCACCAGCCACTACGATCTCTGCCTTCAGTGCGTCAAGATGTTAGCCGGTACCAGCGGGTGGATGAGGCTCTCCCACCAAGTAAGAACCTGGAAATTAAAGGCCTCCCCTTAATCAGAAGGTGCATGAGTGACCACAGACCTGTTATACAGGCTCTGGAGATGAGTGTCTGGTCCCTAGAAATGGTCTTGGACCGGTCACCTGATAAAGCAGCTGTTATATGGAAAGTGCTAAGCTGTAGATGACATGTATCTCTCTCACTATTCTGTCAAACTAAAAGGACAGTTGTGGGAGTGTGTGTTTGTGGGGGAGAGGGTAGAGGGGTTAGTTACTACTGTAATGCTCGAATAAATAAATAAATAAATAAATAAATAATTCCTGGAATAAATAGTTGGATAACTTCACATAATTTTCACTGTGAGTATATGATAGGATTTTTAAAAATTATTCTTTCTGGGGGCATAGACTTCAGTCCGTAGACAAATTTGTAGATCTCTTAGAAGCCTCTTTCTGTGTCATATGCTACTTTTAAAAAACTCATTTACAATACTTTAAACCATTAAATATGGGGGTCAGATATTTTTTCTTAGAAAGAGGCAAAGAAGTGTTACTTTAAAAATTATGCTGACATGTGGAGCATGGTAATTATCTGGAATTGGAAAAATATCTCACTTTTTAAAAAATATGTAGCATTTAAAAGAGAGATAGTTGAAGACTGGGAAATTGATGCTGGGAAATAGCTGCAATCTATATTCAGAGACCTTAGTAATCCCCAGGGTCAGTAGTACTTTGAACATTCTTGAAACTTTGTTCAAGTTTCTAGACACCCTTAGAACAGCATTATTGCCCTGTGAAAGCAGTGCATATTGATAAATAATAATAAAACCTAGAATATACTATATTTACAACCACATTGAAAAATGCATCTTTCTGTCTCACCGCTTTTCCTTCCAATTCACTGTCTCTGTTCACCATCTGTTGTGTGCTCATGACACAAGACCAATGGCTTGGACTCTGTATTTCAAAAATGGTAGGCTTTAAGTAGTGATATGCAATTACATGTTCATGGCATCACATTTGCTCCAAAATTTGAAAGATCTTTCCCTGTTTTAGCTGTAGCAAAAAAAGATCTAAGAATAAAGCCTGAGAGAAAAAATACTTTCTTTTTTTTTTTAGTTTATTTTGTCAATCTTTTTTGTTTGTTTAATTTTATTTTATTGAATCACTGTGAGATAGTTACAAGCTTTCATGTTTGAGTTACAATAATACAATGTTCAAACACCCATCCCTGCACTAGTGCACATTCCCTACCACCAACCTCCCCAGTATACCTCCCCTTTCCCACCCTCCCCCTGCCTCCACGGCAGACAATTTCCCACATACTCTCTCGAAAAATACTTTCTTTAGAGAAAAAAAAAAATTGAAGTTCATTTATTAGATTGGTTTGTTTGATGATCCTAATTCTCAGGTTGGATGAGTGGGTTGGATTATAATAGGAACAGCATTAGTATCTTTAGGAGATGATGCAATGTGAAATTGTGGAAAGCTGTTTATTTGGATAATTGGAAGTGTACTGGTATTTCCAGAGGTATCAGGAGTTCTGGCAATGAGGAATGTCAGCAAGAAAACCTAAATCTTTCATCAAGTTACCTTAAATCTCCAACATTCATGAAATAGGTATTTTGGCAGACAGCACAACTCTGATGAAGCTAATTGTAGCAACTTTGCAGTTTTTTGGTGCTTGTATGCACAGGAGATTGGGAAATGAACTCTTTCCTCCTTCCCCAGAGCCCTTTGCCCTTTCTCAAGATCTACCAGCAACCTTCTTACTACCAAGAACTATCCAGAAGGCCACTGAAAAGGAATGTGAGCCATTATTTAAGTACTAACTAGTTTATTGACACAGTTGCAACTTTTGAACTATAAATGGAACAGCTCTTTCTTGAGAACAGCTTTTGAACAGCTTTTGAACTATAAATGGAACAGCTCTTTGTCAGCAAAACAACTTTTTAAGTGTTCCTTTGGGGATTTGGCTAAAGTGGTAAAGCACATGCCTTGCATGCATGAGACCTGGGTTTGATCCCTAGACCATAAAATGTTTCTTAAAGTAATCTGGTTTTTCAATTAAAAGGAATATCACCACCCTTTTTAGGTTGGAAGGAGGAAAAAAAATACAAGTTTTCACCATTTGGAGAAGATAGACTTCCTTCTTTTGTTTTTTAAAATAGTAAGCTAAGGATTTTTGTGATTTTATTTTGATGGTGCAATTTTTCATCATAAGGATTAAAAATGTTTCATCATAAGGCTGCTGAGATGCTGAGTAATTGTTTAGGTGAGTGCTGACCTAAAAGCTGGACAGTATTAATTACAGTTTGTTAAAGTTTTCCCTTTTGTGGGCTGCTGTGATAGTGCAGCAGGTAGGATGTTTGCCATGCGTGCAGTTACTGAGTTAAGTTCTCTGTACCCCCATATGGTCCACCAAGTCTCTCCAGAAGTGATCCCTGAGCACAGACCTGGTGTAAGGCCTGAGCACTGTTGGATGCAGCCACCCAATTTTTTTTAATTTCCCCCCTTTGAAAGTGGAAAAGCTTTCCCACTTTACAGAGAGCTTACCTTCACTACTCATAGGAAAGATACATATTTTTAAGTATTTTTTAAAAAATATTTAACATGATGTTAGTTATTGTGTTAACTTTAGAATTTTGAAGAAATAAACTTCCTTATTGTTTACTCTTAGAGAAAAGATTAGAATCAGAAAAGAAAACTATTTCTCACTGGTATGTATGGTTGAAAAAAAATGAATTAGAAACACCGGGAGAAAAGTCAAGGAGAGCTTTGTTTATCTGTGTATATAAATAAATGGTAATTAGAATTCCAGGAACATACTGAGGAGACATAGGGCTTTATCAGCATGGAAAAATGGCATTCTCTCCTCATTTCCAATTGCTCTGTACTTTGGTACCAACATTGCATTTACTAAAATAGGTGCATTTCAGTGTACTTATTTTATATTCAATGAACTGGTATTTGTATTACAGAGAGAATATATTTTAGGATTGAAAAAAATAAATATTTGACAATTTTTTAATACATTGACGTGTTCAAAAAGTAAGAAACTAATTTTATAGTCTATGCAATATAATGAGTAACCTGATAAACAGGAGAAAAAATTATTTTTTGAGCCAGGCCTTTTCTTCTGGCTTATGCTTAAGGATTATATGACACAGCTTGGAGATCCAGACGTGGTGCTGGGGATATAACCAGTGTTCACCACCTGAGAAGCAAGTGCCTTACCCTCTGTACTGTCTCTATAGCCCATGTGACACTTCTTAGATGTGTACTCACTTTAACAACTTGCTAATAGGGAGATTTATATAATAAGGGGTCAATTACAGATGATTGTCTGAGCATATCTGATTACACATGCCCTCTCTGATTCCCAGAGTGACTCATTATTTAATCACTTGTCAGTCTCTCCTAGTTATCTGTTGCCACCCCAACCAGTTCTCTGCCTTCCTTTCCTTACTAAATGTGCCTTTGGCCACCTTTGGCCATGCCTCAGATCTATAACTTCGCATTTCACATTTCACATTGTCTTGTGTCTTCTGCTTTATATCACATCACCTCAATGACTTGACTACTGATACCCCAGGTGGAGTGTAAAGATGACCAGACTGATTTATTGAAAGACTGACTTCAACTTTTTAACACTTTTAATTATAATACCTTAAATTGTTATTGTATGTTACAGTTTACAAAAACACCTTTACATGCTTTCTCTTTTGTAAACATTCTTTGTAACAGTTTTGTGAGGTAGATCAAATTTATCTTATCTGTGAAATATAGATGAATGGGACATTAGAAATCATCCCATCTAATTCCTTCAAATGATGTCACTCGTTTAAGTCCCATACTCTTGAAAGTTGAGACCTGAGCATTTAGAAATGGACTTTTGTGGGGGGTGATAAGTGTAAGATCATAATTTGCTTTGTTGCAGAGCATCTGTTTATGTTGTAGAATATTACCATTGCTAATATTCTTAATACCTTAGGGATTCAATGAAACTTCTTTCTTGTGTGGTATTTTCAGGAGACCATCCAGTGAACCAAAACTTCCCATTGAAACTTTACAAACTCAAGGACACTCAATAGCTTCTCACTGTGCCACTTCATTATTGCAGCTGAACACATGATCATTTATATGTCTTATTTATCTTGCTGTATGTCATATACATATATGTGTGTGTGTGTCTCACAGTGGAGACATTACTGGACCCGCTTGAGCAAATTGATGAACAACAGGAGGACAGTGATTGATGTATATAATACACACACACGCGTCAGTCTTTGAACATCTGTTTGATGTATTTGAAGAAAAAGCCATGTTTTCCAAATTTGTTTGTTTCTTCTAGGCTTCTCCTTCCTATCTCAAGATCAGAAAGAGATTTTGGACTTACTACAAAGGCCATTAGGCTGTAATGATGATCTCTCTATTGGTTCTTCAAATCTTATGCTTGCTTTAGGCCATTGGCTGTGTGTACACTGTGACCTGTAGATCATGTTACTCTAATCACTGGTTGAGTGACATTCCAGTGATCCATAGACAATAAGAAAGCTTCATGGTTTGGAGGTGATATGGTACTGTTCAGAGCCTTCCAGAGAAGCAGCTTGAACTTGAACTTACAGGGAGAGTCTTAAAAATTTGCTGTATCTTATTCCTAGGTACTTGATGATGCAGATAGCTAGAGGGATATCAGAGTTGAAAACCACAAGAAAACCTCAAGAGAGTTAACAGCATGACAAATTTTAGTTTTTTTGGTATTCAAGTAGAAAATGACAAAAAGAACGACTAGCTCCATTTCCTCTGAAAACCTTTTTATTTCTTTCTTATGAACATTCAGTTATGTCATAACCCAGTGTGGTAAACTGGAACAGTAGAGAATTGTTGATGGAGTATCTTCTCGCAGTTGGTGGGACAGAAATAGATTTAGGATGAACTGTCTGGATTAGTGAACTCTTACAGGAACCCAGAACTGATGGCATGTGCCAGAACTATTACATAGCTAGTGTGGTGTGAAAGTG